TCAAATGTATACACATCCATGCCAATGCATACATATTCTATAATAATAAAGAATCCATAACCAATGTATACAATCCATACCAAATGCATACATATTCCACATCCAAACCAAAGTCACACCACTGTATAATCCCATGAAGTACCCAACACATCCAAACCAAATGTTGACCTCAACACATCTAAACCAAGTGTTGAATTCGTGAACATATCACCTGCCCATGTCACACACCTAACCTCTCATGAAAAATATACAGTTGGGTTACGTCGTCACGTAACCTTGGTGAACGCGGCCACTTCATCCATCGGTATGACTCAGCCTTGCCCTCATACCGGTAGCAAATAGAATACTTAGAAGAGTACTTCAGAATCCACCTAACATCTGAAGAGGTTTATTATATAATCTTTGGAAAAGTTCCATATTGGAATCCTCACCATGGGACTCCCAAATTCCATATTTTCCCAAAGACTATATCCTGATCTCACCAAGAGATCTCCCAATCCATACCATAACCTTACTCCTCTAAGTCCTATTATCTTTCCAAACCAAACACACAGCATATTCCATAATTACATACAAAATTTTCCATAATCATACCAACTTAACTAAATCACTCCTTGTGAAATGGCAACCTTCACATAAAATAGCATATCAGGAGTTATACTACTCCTATCATGCTCATACTTATCTCATATGAAAGATAAGAAGATTTCCTACAACTCTTATGAAGACATCAAGTCCTAATTCCACCATCTACTTTGTTAAAAATTCTAAAATCCGCAACAGCTATAACCAATGTTGGCAGCTTGACCCCTGTTCACTAAAACAGTCATATCTGGAGTTCTAGACCTCCTTTTTGGGTGATTCTAACGCCATTGGAAAACTAACATCCAAGGCTACAACTTTCATGAAGATTTAAAGACCATACATACTCACGCCCGACGCATTCAGATCGCGCCTGACGCAAACTCAAATAGAAGCCTACAGAGGTCTCAACGCCCGGTGCAATTCCAGATAGAGACTCCCAATGAGTCTCCACACCCGGTGTACTCAGATCATGCCCGGCGCAATATTAGTAACCAAAAATACAAGGCCCACGTCTGATAGTGCGCCCGGCATGGTTCTCCCCACGCCCGGCGTGATTCAACCAGGGATTCCCATTCCAAATAGCGCCCGGTGCGACTAGCCTCGCGCTCGGCGTGATTTGACAATGGTGGTCCTTGATGAATGTACCCCCGGCGCCAAGAACAGCGCCTGGCGCATGTCCAACCAGAAACCCCCAAAAACTCGAAAATTCCTTCCCAACACGAACCCAATCCAAATTACACGAGTTTGAACCATTATAAGGCATAAACACTATCCAAAAACAAAACATTAAGTGATAAAATCAAGTTTTAACCATTTATTCGTGGAAATCATGGACAAACCCCAACCAAAACCCTTTCCCCTCAATTTATCCTTAATCATGCATAAATCATGGAATTAATGTGATATTTCAAACCCATACACACCAGATTAAGTCTTATAAGTACTACCCTTACCTTAGAAAACTCATAAATGAAAGGTTTGAACAAAACCCTCAAATCCCAACTCAAACTTTAATCCCCCTTTTCAAGGCTTTAGAGGTTAAATCTCTTGAAGCTCTAGTTGTGAAGATTGATCCTAGCTTGATAAGCTTCCCAAATGTGTCCTCAGCTTCCTTCCGGACCAGAGCCTCTCTCTACTTCCTCTCTCTAAAACTGTCTCTATTTGACAAATGAGACCCTCCGGTCCTAAGTCTCTATATATAGCCATTTTCCAAAATTTCCAAATTTAACCCTTAGTAACTGTTCACCTCAAATATTCTATTCCTTGAAGTATTTCAACTCCCTAAGCTCTAAAATAACCTCAAATTCACTCAGAAAGACCAGATTTATCTTATGTTCCCATCCTTCAATCTCCTACCCATCCTATTCCTTTCCATGCAATACTCACAACTCACCACCATATGAAATGTAATCTATATATATATATATCAACACTCAAACAAACATCACCCTCTGATACATATGCTTGGAATAATGAGTTGCATGCCATAATATTTTACTTAACTAAGATGAGAAGGAAGGTGATCAGTCTTTTTTCCTCTTAGTACCAATTCAGTATAATGGTGTACAATGCATCATTCACCAAATTCATGCACACATATGCCTATATAAACCTCTCATCTCATACTACAAAATCACTACTATATCCAACAACCAATCAAAATTACATAAACATACAACATGCACAAGATAAGTACATTTCAAATCCACACCTCCAAATCCAATCCAAATTCAAATAAACAACATACACATATATATAAATACATATATATACATATATATATATATATATATATACATAAAGTATATCTACTAAATAGCCCAATATTTCCATGGCGTTACAAGCCACTTCCAGCACTAGTAGCCAGAAGAACTCCCATACACAGAAATTACGAAAATCGCAGATCCATACGCAACTAAGTGTGTCTTATGTGTTCTAAAAATCTTAAAAAAAGTGATTTCCAAACAATAATAAAAGAAAACCTAACACGCTTAAAGATACACAACCATATTCCAAAAACACACATCAAATCCAATAACTAGAAAGGGAGAAATAAACGGTAGAAAGAAGAACCGATTTCAAACATCGAAGAGTGGAGAACGCAAAAATGATGGAAACCGATTCGGAGCAAGACATGATAGAAACAGAAAAATCAAAGGAATAGAAAATAAGCGAAATCGAAAGCGAAACCTGATGAAGTGAAGAAAAAAGGATTGAAATAAGAGCAAAGTGAATCGTATCCCAAGAGAGAGCAAGTGTGCGGTCGGTGGTTGCGATATCAAAAACCCCTTTCTTTCGCTACAAAACTGTGTTGCGGCCAAGCGAAACAAATCGTTTATTAGAGATTCAACCTTCATCTAGAGAACAATGAGGATTTAGGGTTCCATCCACAGTTTGTGCGCACTTCTTTGCAAAACAAGATGATGCTTCAAGAGAGGGTTCTTCGGGGGGAAAGGGCTCACGCAGGTCAACAAATAAAGACAACAAGGTCATGCTTACGATTAGAGAACAATGAGGATTCAGGGCTAGGTTGCACATGCTTTCTTTGTAGAACAAGATGATGCTTCAGAGAGTTCTTTACGGAGAAAGGGCTCTCATGCACATCGGTTACTGGTGAATCGATGTAGATCTATTTATAATTATTCACAAAATTGTCACCGCGCATTTAATACTACATTGGTCCCACTAAAAACGATGTAGAATACTCAATATTTACATTGGTCCCGACCATAACCGATGTAATATGCTTTATATTATACACTTATTTACAAAAATGTCACCGAATTTGATTTCTATACATCGTTTTTACCTAAATTGATGTAGAATTGATGACGTTAAACAGTAACTTTCTAGTAGTAATTTAAATTCATAACTATTCATTAAATATTGAATCCTAAATTCTAATAAATTTAACTATTAGGGTTAACGTAGTGGTTGGGTGAGGAGGGGTTGAAGTAGTTAGAAGCATGGGACCTAGGTTCAATCCTCATTGCAACTATCTTTGTAATCTTTCTTATCTTTACCAAAAAATAAATTCTAACAAATTTTATTTTATTGTTTAAATTTTATATTTATTCATTATTTGTTATCCTAACTTGTAACAATTTTTTTCTCTGATATTTGAATTTTATATCTATTTATATAATTTTGTATCATGAATTTCAAAAAAATTTATTTTAGTTTTAATTTTATATCTACTTTTTTATTAGTATACATAAATAGACTTGGCATGCTAATTTTTTATTTTTCTAGTGTTTTCCTTTTACATCTATTAATTCTTTTTTATCCTAAATTGTAACAATTTTTTCTAATGTTAGAATTTTACAAATATTTATTTATTAAATGTCTGTAGAGTTGTCAAAGTAGCTTAAAATCCATGAGACAACCCGGTCTACCATGGGTTTAAGATAGTTTGCGTCAGAAAATTTTGGTTTGTTTCAATTGTAAGAAAAATTTGATCCGGCTCATTTACAATTTGACTCACTACGAATCAACCTGTGGTGAGCCGAGTTAGCTCACAAGTTGGCTCACCTAATTTTTTTTTTAATTTTTATATTTTTGAATGTTAATTTATGTGATTATATATTTATACCATTGATTAAATTTTATACATAATAATTGTAAATTATGATAATTAGTGTCAATTTGATATTATTTCTCAATATTTTATGTAATAATTTTAATTTTATAAGTTGATTAAATTGGTTGTGGATGACATCTAATTCCCTTTTGACATTTTATTTGTCTTATTTCTTAACATAGTTGTAATTCTAAAACATAATATTATAATATATATTTTTTATAAAGTTCAATTATGTTGTTGGTTTTTATAATTTAAGTGAACTAGCTCGTTTAACCCATCAACCCATGGTAAGTCAGGTCAGGTTAATTTCTTTTAAATTCACCTAAAGGTGAATCGGGCCGGATTGATCCACCTATTACCTAACCCATGGTGGGTCGGACCGAATTACCTACTTTAACAACTTTAAATATGTGTCCTAAATTTTAACAAATATTATCTAATGTTTGAATTTATCTATATATTTATCTATTATTAATTTTGTGTCTAGAATTGTAATGATTTTTTTTATCCATAAAAAAGGTTCAAACCTAATCTTCCCTTCTACTCTAATTCATTTCTCTAATTATTAGGGTAACTCTAATGGTATATTGTTACAATTTGATTTTAATACTTGAATTTTATATCTATTCGGCTTATTAATTTACATTAAACAGACTTGAATTTCTATTAAAATGTGATAAATATGAAATATTAACGGCCATATATATGGATGGAGAATTAATATATATATTCATTCTTATATTCATGTCTTGCAAGTTGCAACGAAGTTGTTATCTATAAATACTATCACTATGCGTTAGTATTTTGCAAGAAAAAGAGTGAGGAATGAAAATGGATAAGTTATTTTGTGAGAGAGTAGTAACACTAACAGTTGTGTTGGTTTTGTTTGTTATGATACGATTTCCGGAAGCAGTAGCTCAAAACGAAACAATTCCGGCATTGTTTGCATTTGGTGACTCAATCCTTGATACCGGAAATAATAACAACCTTCAAACGTTAGTTAAGTCCAATGCTCCTCCCTATGGAAGGAATTTTCCGGGAGGTAAACCTACCGGAAGATTCTGTGATGGAAAAATACCCACAGATTTGATAGGTAACAATATATACACATTCTCTTCTCTTTACTAAATCATTTTTGAGTATTTAAAAATCCTTTATTGAATAACTTGAATGTGAATATATTGCATGTAGCAACGGCTCTGGGAATCAAAGAAACGGTACCAGCATATCTTAGTGCTAACTTGAGGTCTCAAGAACTCTCCACCGGAGTATGCTTCGCTTCAGCTGGTTCAGGAATTGATGATCTCACTGCTCAGATACAGGTAACGTAAATCCTTTCTCCGTCACATAATAAGTGTCGTACTTATCGCATAGTGATTGGTTTATTACATGTTATTCCCTCATTTCTTCTTAACACTAAGCAGGGAGTTATATCACAACCAGCCCAACTAAAAATGTTTCAAGAATACATAGGAAAGCTAAAAGCAGTTGTTGGACAACAACGTGCGACAGATATCATATCCAAAAGCTTGTACCTCGTTTCCGCAGGCAACAATGACATTGCCATTACCTATTCTCAGATATTAGCCCCAACACAACCTTTTCCATTATATGCCTCTCGTTTAATTTCCACCACTTCAAATTTCCTCGAGGTACATTGCAATGTACAACAATAAATTATAGTTAGTGCAATTTTTGTGGTGATCGATGTTAGTTATATTACAAATTTGTAGAGTCTATACGAACTTGGAGCACGAAGAGTTTGGGTACTGAGCACATTGCCACTCGGATGCTTGCCTGGAGCTAGAACAGCCGCGGGAGGACTATTAAGGGATTGTGCAATCCTTGAGAACCAATTAGCACAGTCATTCAATGGTCAATTATCAACAGCAGTTAATTCTATCGGTGCCACCCTTTCCAATTATGACATTAGGTTTATCGATGTCTATACTCCTCTCTTTAATCTCATACAGAATCCTCAGTCAGGAGGTTGTTTTCTATACAACGTTGCTTAATTCAATAATTAGTAGTTTTGTTAGCATTAATTGATGACTTTACAATAAATAATTTCAGAGTTTGATGACGTGGCGGACGCGTGTTGCGGAACTGGCGCATCCAAAATATCAGGGATATGTAACCTTCTCAATGTGTGTCCAAATCCTTCCAAATACGTTTTCTGGGATTTTGCACATCCAACTGAGAGAGCTTATCAGCTTATTGTCTCGTCTGTACTACGGTCACACGCCAACAATGTTTCCTCTCTCTCACACTAATGTATACCACTCATGAAGATGTAACTACTTATTTGTTTAAATAATTTTAGCATGGACTTTTAATAGACGTGCATTTTAATCTTTTGATTGGTTGTAGGAGTTATAGAAATTATGTACGCATTGTTTTATGGCCATTGGAGTGGACTAATAAAATTGCACCTTTTCTCTTATTAAGAACGCCCAATGGCATCAACTAGAACTGTACCTGCAACCAAAGAAACGCAATTAAAATAGAAGGGTACTCATTGAGGCAGTTCAAACTCTCCGTTTTCTTAGTTTGGCTCTTCGAATGGAAATTGAACCCAAATCATAAAGGAAACCTTTTGTAACCTCAATGAGTAAGATGAAACTTAAAAAAAATAATGTTTGATTATCAATGAGATTTTTTTTGTATTCTCAAAAATAATTAAAATATATGTTTTGTTAACAATACATTTTCTTGGAAATGCATATAATAATCATTAAAATATTTTATTATAAAAGAAATATTATTTTATTATAATAAATAAATAAAATTATTATACCTACATTATAAATATTTTTTTATAGCATTTACCTTTATAAATTATGATAATTCCATGTAAAGAATAGATATGCTTTTTTTTCATTAATTAATGCTTGAAAAATTCCCTTTTCATTCTAAAAAGTTTTATACAAATATTAATTAAGAAGCCAATAATCAAGATATTGGCGTGAAACATGCTTTCAATATTGTCTAGAAAAAATTATTGTACAATATAATATGTAACAGTGGCATATATAGTAAAAGCAATTTACATTAAAAAAAATTACTAAAAAAATAAATTACCTAATTCTTGTGGGAGAGGTATCATGGAGTTGACACGAATGATACATGATTCAGTCCAAGCTTATGAGTTCAACATCCCTTGTGACTAATTATTAAGTGGATAATGGTGTTTTAGTCTGAAAATCTTGAACATATCATTGGCTTCGTGTCTAGTTATTATAAAAGTGTCATCCCCCTATTTACCATTTTATACATTAAAAGAATCCTTTGAGAGAGGATTTCTAGCAACAAGTATAAATAGGCGTGTTATTTAATTATATGATTAAATGTTGTTATGTTGTTATTGATATTGCTTTAGAGCTATGAGGGTTTAGGAATCCTAAGAGTTAAGTTATCCCTAAGATAGTTGAATTAGAGTTAGGTTGCTTCGTTTTAAGGAATAGTATATAAAGTTTTTCTTAAAATGTGAACCTCATAAGTTTATGTTTTAAGAAAAACTAGAGAGAAGATTTATGGAGTCTGAAGAGCACTTCTTCGGTCTTCTTCTCCTTTTGAATTCTTCCTTCAACCTTCCATTTTAGATGATTTGACTATCTAACTTAGAGATTTTAGCTCCTAGAGTAGGATTCTCAAATTCAAAATTTTGCGAGAGTCTTCTTCTTCACCTTTTCTCTTTTAGATTCGTTAGAGGTAAAGGAAGTTTTTGAATTTGATGTTGTTTGATGAATAAATGCTACTTTGTTGTTTGGATTCATAAGTTAGATGTTGATTTAGTGAAAATCTTGGATTTGAGATGATTTGGAGAAGTGCTCTTGAATGGTATTTTTGAGTGACATGAGTGATTCTTACATTTTGATGGTTGTGTGTATTATTTTGAGTTAGACGGGTGTTGTTTATGATGCAAATGTGTTAAATTATAGGTTACATGTTGGTATCCTTCTGAAGTGCATAAATTCTCGTCATATCAAGCATGCCTTCATGGCACTGAGCATGGCTCAAATCAGGGCCCTCCATCTCATTACATCGAGTGCATGATTGGTGGCATCAAGCATAAGGAGAAAGAAAAGCCACTGACTTGGTCACATCGAACATAGGTTGAATGACATCAAGCATGAGGTGAGAGAATTGTCTCTGACTTGGTGACGTCAGGCCTTGGGCTGTGTGGCACCCAACATGACAAAGATAGAGCTCTCTGTTTGAGTAATGTGGGGCTTCAATGAAAGGAAGTCGAGTGTGAGGAAAGAAAATCACCTATACCTAAATTTGAGGTCAGGCATGGGTGTAACCACACCAAGCATGGTTGTCCTAGGGGATCTTTGATCACATCCATGTAGGGCACGAGTTGAGTAACGTCTAGGGTGGGTGAGACAATAATCCCTTATCTAGGGGTGTTAGTAGATACAAGTAACATGAAAACCTAAACTGACTCAATCCAACCCAACCTAGTCATATATATATATATAT